ACAAATTCATTAATATATTAATATATTTATATGTATTTCTTATTAATATGGAAAGGGCTTTACATGTATATACATGACTTTAATAGGATGTAATACAGTTGAGGGTGTCAACTCGCTAAAACTGATAACAAGTGCAATAAAGTCAATTGGATATCTAATAACAATTCAAATTATATTGATAGGATTGAATCAAGTGACAAAACTCATTTCCATTATTATAAGAAATCGCTGCTAAAAGCAGAGTCGGTTATACAAATGAGAAGTGTTTATGTTCTCTGTATCTTCCTACTTCCTCAACTATCCGCCAATCAGATCATGAGCGATTTAATGGTCAGAAGTCCCTATGTACCGATACAAATAATAAAGGAAGAGTCCTTGAGTGAGTGAGTGAGTTTGATTTTTCGCCGCTTTTAGCAGTATTCCAGCAATATCACGGCGGGGGACACCAGAAATGGGCTTCACACATTGTACCCATGTCGGGAATCGAACCTGGGTCTTCGGCGTGACGAGCGAACGCTTTAACCACTAGGCTACCCGACCGCCCCAAGAATCCTTGAAGATTTGATCATAAAAATTGACTTATGCATCTTCAATGATGGTTCTAACACCTATCTGCATCCTGCCACAGGAAAATACTCTGCCCTTGATCTGCCCCTTCACTGACGGATTCAAATATTTTGAACGAGTTTGAATGGTCGGTCCATGATGAACTTTGTGGGAGGGACCATTTTCCAACAATACTTACAACTATCGATCTGGCTGACGAACCACCTTCAACAAGGTGGAACTTTGCAAAGGCCAATTGGTCTTTTCCCCCAAAGGATATGTATAGAGAAACAAAAACCTGACAGTTTCAGGAATGTTCCTGGTCCTATAGAACTATTTTTAGATCAATTTAATGCTATTGGAGACGAAAGCATTCATAAGTCTTATGCAAACCCTCATATACGCTTGATCGCGATATGGCTGCAATATTGCCGATGCGATGTAAAATTATAACTCACTCACTCACTCATATACGCTTGGTTTACACCATGGTTTGATAATGATTGTAAACAATCTAGACATAATAGGAAGAGAGCTGGGAAATATTTCTGCCGCCGACAACCCACTGTGCACAGCCTGAATGATGTTAAAATCACAAGCGCCAAGGCTAGGCATCCTTTAAAAAAAATAAACGTCAATCCTGGAGAAACTATGTATAATAATTATCCCACACCCATATCCAATGTGTGGAACATAATTCAAAAGATTAAAAGGAAAGGATCAAAATCTGGTGTTCAACATCTCAAAGATGGAAATACACTATTAACCACTAAATCTAAATTGCCACCAAACTACGTGAAATTGTGGCAAACCATTGCTATACATCCAAATATAACCGTCAATTTCACAGGTAACAAACACAACAGGAAAATAAAATAGTCACTTGTAACTCAGAAGGACTGAGTAAGGACTCCAATGAACCATTTTCACTCCATGAATTGCATACTGCCCAAGTGGCAAACCCATGACACTGGAGCAGGAGCCGACAACAATTCCTTACCAGTACCTGAAACACTTGTCCAATTCATGTTTGGCAACACTTACCTTATACTTACTGTATTTGATGCAATTTCCCTCCTTCGTGGCACAATGCTATTATCATTCCTATACCAAAGCCTGGACGTGATCGTATGGATCAATCCACGCTGTGTTTGTAAAACCATGGAGCGCATTGTCAATAATCGATTAGTCTGGTACTTGGAGACCAATGCCATCCTGAGTAACATCCAGTGTGGTTTCCGAATAAAATCCCAGAAGTACCATTGACCATTGGTGAGCTTAGAATCTTTAATAAAAAAATTCATTGTCAACAAACAACATACTGTATCAATCTTTTTTGACCTAGAGAAGGCACATGATACAACGTGAAAACATGATATTTTAAAATAATTGCTTGAATTTGGATTGAGATGCCAGTGGTCTCTACTCTATCTAGTCTTTTCGATCAAGACGAGGGTCTCCCTCAAGGTAGCATGCTATCTGTCACACTATTTAGCATCAGAAGAAAATATGTGGCGCAGAAAAGTTTATGTCAATACAGGTCTTTCACGCTTGATGCTAATACACACAAAGCTTACTCACCATATATTATGGCAACTAGCATCTATGTACCCAGAACAGAGGTCAAGTTTAAAATTTTGTGTTAGAGTTTCATCACGAAACAAAACTTCCAGGGACTGTTTATTGTGTAACAAGCATGCCTTTGATTATGATAATCACATCATACTACATTGTGAAGCTCTACTGCAGGAAAGAAATGAACTGTTTTCAACTTTTATTGATCTGCTTGATGTTGAAACCTATGTCCAGTTGGAATTACAAGATGAAGAAGATATGTTGTCATTTTTCTTTGGTGCTGATACTCACTTCTCACAATGTATTGATATAGTTACATGGGAATCTGTTATACTGATATTTTCTGCTTATGTACTTACACTAAAACCTTACCTTGATTATGTCATCTGATCTAACCTTTTGTACTGTGTGAATGGCATAACACTGGTGCTACTGTCTTGTATTGTATATATGTACAGGTAATATGAGTTTGTGTGAATACGTTTGATTAATTATGTATAATCTTCGGATTAACTTCTGGAGGAAATAAAGAATCACTCTTGTCAAATTCATGTTTGGCAACACTTACCTTATACTTACTGTATTTGATGCAATTTCCCTCCTTCGTGGCACAATGCTATTACCATTCCTATACCAACGCCTGGACGGGATGGTACGGATCAATCCACGCTGTGTTTGTAAAACCATGGAGCGCATGGTCAATAATCGATTAGTCTGGTACTTGGAGACCAATGCCATCCCGAGTAACATCCAGTGTGGTTTCCGAATAAAATCCCAGAAGTACCATTGACCATTGGTGAGCTTAGAATCTTTAATAAAAAAATTCATTGTCAACAAACAACATACTGTATCAATCTTTTTTGACCTAGAGAAGGCAGATGATACAACGTGAAAACATGATATTTTAAAATAATTGCTTGAATTTAAATTGAGGGGCCAGTGGTCTCTACTCTATCTGGTCTTTTCGATCAAGACGAGGGCCTCCCTCAAGGTAGCATCCTATCTGTCACACTATTTAGCATCAGAATTGAACACTTGTGTTGATGGTTCACTTTTTGTGGACAATTTCAACATATTTTGTCATGGTAAGAATATGAATAAAATAGAAAGACAGCTACAGCTCTGTCTTAAAATTCAAAAATGGGCCAACGACAATGGCTCTAAGGTTTCTTAATAAAAACAAACTGTATTCACTTTTGTGGTAAATATAAATCACACAAGGATCCAAAGTAAAAGAAGCCAAATATTCGACCGTCATCTCACATTCTTACTACTCATTAAACATCTAATCATAAAGGCAAAGTGCCTGAAGGTTCTCGATTTGTAAGAAGTCATTTCAAATTCCGAGTGGGATGGGGGGTGGGACAAAACAACCCTCCTTGTCACTAAACTCTAAACTAAACTACGGTTCTATTGTGGGGCCTGCAAAAGCTATGTAGAAAAATTAGACTCTTTATACCACCAAGGCCTAATGCTCTGTCGTGGAGCTTTTAGGTCCTCTCCTGTGGGCAGTTTGTATGTGGAAGCTGATGAACCTTCACTCGAACAACGCCGCCTTAAACTACTATCGCTACAGTCCAATCAATCAAACCCAGCATACAATTGTGTTTTCCACTCTGTATGAAAACCTGTTTCGAAATTTGTCAAACCTGGTTTCCCCACTGCTGCTAAAATATATCTAATTATTAGATCAGCCTGTCGACTTCTGTCTTTTTCTCTCTGGCAGATGGTGAAGCCAGAAGTAGACCTCACTCGCACACAGATAAAAACGTCCGAAACAAATCCTTTGGTATATCAACAAGAATATAACCAATTACGAACAAAATATAATTCTGATAGATCCATTTTTACAGACGGGTCCAAGGATGGTGGCAAAGTTGCAAGTGCCACCATCATTGGATTCAAAACTGTCTCCTCAAGAATCACAGAAAATAGTTCAATCTTATCTGCTGAGGCCAAAGCTATCTTAACAGCTTTGACCTGTATTAAACAGCAAAACCAATCTAAAAACTTCATCATATTTTCAGATTCATTGTATTGCCTTAAAAATAATCCTTGACAATTTAGAACTTTACAATGATCATTCTACTGGCCAATGTGACATTGTCATTTGCTGGTTGCCAATTCATGTAGGCATAGCAAGAAACTCAAAAGCCGATGCTGCAACTAAAGCAGCTCTTGACAAACCGTTATCTCCACTCCTTATCCTGTACAGTGATTTCAGACCAACCATAAGATTTTATACTTGGTATCGCGTGCAAGGTAGGAATCAGTAAACTTCAGAAATTTAAATCAACAATGTCAGTTAAGACATGATGAGGTCACTTTACCAAGATATTGTATTGGCCAAATATCTGCTTAAAACACATTAAAAAACTGCTTAAAAGATAACCTCATGAGTGTATCCCCTCCTTAATTTTAAATTTTTGTATCATCAAAGATTATAGAAGGCTATGCCAAGGAGGTTAAAGCAACGTAAAATGATTGTCCCCATGTGTAACACGGAATTCCTATGATAATCAATGTAACTATCATCAACCGTTATTTTAAGCCAACTCATTGCTGAGTATTTCTTAATATTGACTGGTATTGTGCACAACCACCAGTAGCTAAAGTGATAACGTAAATCCTCTCTAAAGGATAGTTTTGGAAATACTAACACCCATTGTATCAGTGTTTTAAAAAAAAGGAAAAGAAACTGAAATGGCTGTGAAGGTGATTTTTAAAATTGGTTTAATATTGTATAGTAAGTTTTGGCCATACCACCGAAGGGGTTTTAAGTAGCGCAAAATCATTGTCCGCCTGAGAGGGTTAGTAAGACCATATCAGCAAAAGTAATTTTCATTTCCTATTAGTTGTAATTCCCATTAGCAAGAGGGATGATGTATGTCCTGCTGGGTAACCATGAACGTAGCAGAGGTATGATTAGTCTCATTGGGCCTAGTATGGTGGCCTAACTTTGTCTGCTGGTGATCTATAGCCTAATTTTTAGGTTGTATCGTTGTCTAATAATCTGATATTATGAATGTTCACATCTAGTTTTAAATAAATCTGTGACATATTGCTCATGATTGTAGGTCCTTCGTCGACAGGCTTTTATATCGTATTAACGTATAACATCATCAAGTCACATTATGGCAGAAATATTACCGACGTGGCTTAAACGTTTAACTCACTCACTCACTCACCCACTGTGAGGGCACTTATATGCTACATATTAATTCCTCTTATATTCTCTGGTTGAGTGTCATTTTTCCATCCTGACGATAATTCACGCATGTGTAATGATTGAAGATAAAATTGACCTTACCTTTCGTGATTTGTTTTCAGACGCAAAGTCCTCAGCATCAGCTCAGGACTGGATCAGCTGGGAGGCATCAAGTGGGAACTGGCTCTGTGTCTCCTTGTGACATGGATTTTCATATTCGGCTCTCTGGCGAAAGGTATCAAGACAATTGGAAAGGTGATGTCACTGATATGACTACGCTTTTGTGTATCATAATCTCCTTTCTGTTAGGGTTCCGGGTCAGAACAGATGTCCAGTACGTCATTCTTGTTGTAAATGTTGAGTAACATGGGACCGCGTGGTCTGGTTCTGTGACTTCCCTGACTGCGGTCTCCGGCACACATGTTCTTAGCGTTGACGGTCTTCACGATGCCTTACCTTCATTAGATGGCAATGCCAGACAGAAATATTATGTGAGAAACCATACACTGAATTAGTCACTCAACATCTGTCCGAGGTCAAGGTCTCATGCAACTAGTATTGGTAGTATGGTACGAAGACATTTTTGTTACACCTAATATAAAGAATTAGAAATATTCCAAAATGTGTTCGGCGATGATTGAAGGCCAAGATATGCAAGCTATTGCGATATATGCTTCTAAAAAAGTTGCTTTCATGCTACATGTTGTCTTTGTGACAGAGATTTGACCAACTTTGACATAAATAGTCACACATTGAGAAGTTCTTAAAAACTCCATAATCAAACTCTGTTATTTGTTAAGTGCAAAGGCAATTCCAAAATTGAGAGACAGTCAACGTTATTATACCGGAGGTGCATTAAACTTTCAAATTTTGACAGCTAGAGGCATTAGCTGTTCTGGTTGCAAGTTACTACATAAGTAGGACACAAACACTACACAAAAAGAAAGTGATTTACTGAGAATGGAAGTACATATAACGTCTATATCTAAGTAGCTAGAGGCATGCGACTTTGAGCATAGATGTAATAGTACAGTAAATATGTACTTTACTAGTATTAAGTCCAGAAGTCATTTTAGTTTTTCACTTGGCTAAGTGGAGACATGTCATTTTAAAAATTTGCATTGAAATAAGTCTGTATTAAGTAGTGTCATCAGATTGGAAGTGCATGGTGGAATGAAGTGAGGTTTATGTGGTGCTACTAGTAGGGCAGCAGATCTTGCTTACCCTTTTTCACGACGTAAAAGGTGACTATGCTTGTCGTAAAAGGCGACTAACAGGATAGGGTGGTCAGGCTCGCTGACTTGGTTGATGCATGTCATCGGTCCAAATTGCGTGGATCGATGCTCATGATATCAACCACCGGATTGTCTGGTCCAGACTCGATTATTTACAGACCGCCGACATGTAGCTTGAATATTGCTGAGTGCGGCGTTAAACATCAAACCAGCCAACCAACCTCTTCACGAACACCTGGTGTTATCACCGATTTTCAGTGATCCCATAATATAATTTTCACAGCTATTTTGCCTTTTCGCCCAATTGAATCTGTTTTCGTCGAATAATCGTATTGTTTGACGTTGACGTTTGATATTTTATATTTCTATTTTGTATCAGTAAGGACATACTGATGAGTTGACCTTTCCTTTACACGTTGGCATGCGGCATAGTGTTAATTAAGTAGCAAGTATATATGATGTTGCTATGTAATTGCAAATTTTGCATCTTTTACAATAAAGGTAGATACAGTGTTCTAGTGATTCTATTTCGTTTAGGTTGTGTACGTGACGGCGACGCTGCCATATGCTTTCCTCTTCATTCTGCTTGTCCGTGGCCTGACTTTACCAGGTGGACCGCAAGGCATTCTGTTCTACATTACCCCAGATTTCAGCAAATTACTGGACGTTCAGGTGCATGATGAAACTACAAATACCTTACTAATTATGTCTTTCCGGTTTGACAAGTTGGGGGAAATGTCGACTGTATATTGCAAAACGAGTTTGCAATATTGTTTGCAATATCTTTAAATATTACCTTGATATTGTAAGAAAATAATATGGTTAATAGCAAAGAAATGTTTTCATTTCATTTCCCCTGATTTTCCAAATTTTGCTCTCAACTCTTTGCATTAGTTATAGATATCGGTACAAGTGTCATTAAATTATTACTTCATATATTTGGTGAGCTATATTAGCTACAGAGCCTCGTGGATCTAGTTTTAATAAACGCATCACATACATGTACATGTGTGAGTGATGACTTTTTTGGCTTGAATTAAGTAAATGTGTTTGTAATATGATAGTTGTTAAGAAGTATTTGCAACATAGCATGAAAACGTGACGCACCATGACAGAAATAAATCATTTTGGTGTCCTTGTGCATTTCCAAAACAAATGTTGTAGGTGTGGGTAGGGGCGTGCGTTCAGGTATTCTTCTCACTGGGGCCGGGATATGGAGGCCTTATATCAATGGCTAGCTACAACACCTTCCACAGCAACTGTTTAAGGTAATTAAGTTAAATATCAAAAAGTATACTTGATCAGATTAATTACAACCATTATTTTCGAAGAGTCTGCGAAGAACCTCATGACTTATTGAATAAATTGTACTTTATATGAGAACATGTGTTTTGTATATCAGACATGTTACTGATTCGTTTGATCGAGTTTCACTTCAATGTCACCAGTGAGACAGATTTCAGTATCTTCTTTTGTCCGAAGGAACGCACTCATCTGTACATTGGTGTGTGGGGGATCAAGCTTGTTTGCTGGATTAATTGTATTCTCGTTTCTTGGATCCATGGCTCACGAAGCCAACGTCCCCATCACAGATGTTTTGTCATCAGGTGGGTGAGATTTAATATGAGGATATTTTATCAATTTATCAATTTCGACTTGATGCAAAGGGCACGTTTTACTTGACTGTGTAGAGTTTTCTCTCACAAGGGATACTTTTTATCAAGTTTCAAATTTAAGGGATCTTTTTAGCAAAGTCAATTATCATTTAATTATAGATTTTTTAAAAGAAATAGGTCTGATAAGTAGCTTTTGATAAATCTGTTTTAACTTAGATGCAATTGATAACTTATATTATTCTGGTTGTGGCATTTAATGGGGTTGAAGTACAGTAACATTATTGTCCCCTGATAGTCGCACATAAATCCGCATACTATTTAGTACATTGCAGAGAACTAGAATGTTAATACATTTCATATTTTGAATGTGTCTTAATTTATGGCTAGTATTGTCTACACCTACCAGTGACTAGAGTTATGACTTAAATCCTTTTGGGGATTCATGCAGGTAGCTAAAGTACTGTAATCCCCATGGTCCCCAATAAGGTGGTCTGGCTTTGGTTACTGGTGGTATATAGCTCGTATTTTAAAAATATCAAATGTAAAGTTGATGTATATATGTTGGTTAGAGGTTTTAGTGTTGACTTTGTTAGTTTTTAGATTTCAATCTGTGATACCATGCTAATGTTCCCTAGTATGGTGGCCTAACCTTGGCTGCTGACGATATAGCTCGTTTTTATATTTTATTGCGTTGTTGGGTAATAGTTCCCTCTTTTGATTGTTCTCAAACTAGTTTAAAAAATAAATAAATGATATATTGCTAGTTATTGTAGTGTCAACAGTTGACATATTTTAATATCCTATTATTAATGTCTAACTTTTACAAGTTATGAAATGTCTGGCATACTGCCGATGTGACATTGCAGTTGAACTCACTCACTCACTCATCTTTTGACTGATACAGTTGTTTTTTCCAGGACCCGGTCTTGGCTTTGTTATTTACCCAGAAGCATTGGCTCAACTTCCGCTCCCGCATATATGGAGTGTTTTCTTCTTTGTTATGCTTATTCTTCTGGTACAAGATTCATTGGTGAGAAACTATTCTTACAAATTCTGTGCGAGACAATGGCGATGAGGGTAAGCCAGTGGTTGAAGTATTTATTGGGTTCGATTCCCCACATGGGTACATTGTGTTATGTCCATAGATTGTGTTCCCCACCATGATATTGTCCCAACATTTTGTTAAATACATTCAGAGAAAAGGATAATTAAATTGTTTCTATTTATAATAACTAATAAATATTCAGCGGCTGCATAAGAAGTCATTAACAATGAAACCTAAATGGAGACGCATCTAAATACCGACCTTTTAAAAAGTAAGTCAGCATATGAGTTTGTGCACAACATACCCCAACTTGAATTATTTACCTGAACGGATTATTCAGCATCCAGCAAAGGGTAATACTTGTGATATATTGTATGTGTTGTTATAGTTTTCAACCGTGGAAACTGTAATATCGGCCATCTTGGATCAATTTCCCTTTCTACTGAAATGGAGAATCCCTGTAACTGCTGCCTACTGTGCTATGTCCTTTCTGCTGGGCCTTATGTTCATCACTGAGGTTTGTAAAGAGTCATTTTAGCTCACCACGAAGGTCCAAGCGATCTCCAGTATGACGCGGTGTCCATTGTGTCAGTCCTTGTCCATCTGTCTGCTTCCACTCTCCAAAAGAGTTCTTCTCCAAATCGGTTGATGAAAAGAACCTTCAAGTAAAAGAGAATATGTTTGCAATATGAGAGAATTCATGAATTAAAAATCAAGATTTTATAGCGTTCTTTGTGATTGTAATTTGTTAAGAATCGCCTACTCTGAAATCACAAAACCTTGTATGCGCATACCGTTGTTTGGCGTAGCCACACAAAAGGATAAGTTAAAGTAACTAAATAGACATAATGCAATTCGGCAACCTTAACAATCGTGAGAGTTGAAACACATTTAGGATGTATAGGACCATAATGTGTGTTGCATTGTTCATGACATAATATTAAGAAATAAAACTAATTGAAAATTACACCACACTGAGAAACATAATTAAACATGTATAATTACATTAACCATCCTTAAAAATGAAAATAAAAAAAATTCTTGATAATAGACCTGTAATCAAGCCGAGACATGGGTTGATGATGTTCATAAAAAGTTTCGTCCTCATCAAGAACTTTTGACATTGTTGACAAAAAACAAAAATAAAATGCCCTACAACTCAGCTACTGATGTAGAAAATTTGGTGATACTTACGAGGGTGGCTGAAAAGTTCAGAGCCTAACTGTGATGGACTGCTTATAAGGGGTTCAAAATAATCCCGCTATGTTCGCATGGATGCCTGTTGCAGTTAGCCCTTTCGGTTGGAGATGCTTGGCGATAGCGCGGTTGCTAATTGTGTCCATTTCCATCAACAGAGAATACCTCGTAGTGCATTTGGGTCACCTGAAGCCTGTAAGCGTGGAAAGTATTGTACTTCAACATATAAACTGTTAAGGGTGTACTAAACATCATTCACAGTTAGGCTCGGAAGTTACCCCTCGTAACATGGATATTGGTAATTATAACATTTTCTATAAATGCATTACAGACAGATCACATTACACTGGCAGTCAATACTATAAAAGCACACTTGCAACAACCGCACTTTCCTTAACTGATGGTTCTCTCAATTCCGAATGTACACGGAGTCTTGTTGATAATATTTGTTGTTACTTTAAAAGAAGCATATTTCTGATATATCATGCTGGTTCTTACAAAACGTTATTTGACATTTCCAGGGTGGAATGTACATATATCAACTGGTTGACTGGTACATAGCCACCTTATTCCTCATTTCTGCTGGATTTCTGGAGTGTATAATTCTCGGATGGGTATATGGTAAGGCTCTAATTCAATACTTGATTCTGCATCTAAACTGTTTATTTTGACAATTATTGTTTCCTTAAAGTCTAGTCGTCTTGCATAGACTAAAAACTGGTCCAGTGTTTCTTCCGAAACTCACACTAGTCACACAAGTTGTTTAGTTGTAGGTGTTTTTATTTTCTGGGAATCAAGTTGGACGTAAATATGGGTTGTGTTTTGCCGGGCAAACCTGAAGGTTTTTCACTATTTCTCCATGGAACTTAAACGTGATGATTGAAGCTATTAGCTACCTTTTGATGTCACCATGCATTGTTTTAGAAATAGGTTAGTTAGTTTCATAACCACGAACGAAATACAATAAATCGACATTTATCTTTATGAACATTAAGAAAACCTTTTATGATTTTTTCAATCATATTTCATCATATGTATATTTATACTTTCCTAACATTTAGTATTAATTCGATTTGGGCTGTGGTAACTGTCACCATGACTGAACTCTTCTGAATTTTCCCACGAATCGACTGAATCTTTAGGAGGATGTCTAGCATCACAATATGGCTCAAATGAATTCTTGCTGCCCAAATAGTTATGTTTTTAAACTTGAAAAAGATATCAAATAATGAAACAGATACGACACATTGGTGTTTATTAACACAACTGGAAATTGGTAAAACTTTAAATTATTAAACTCTTAAAGATTTTTCTCAGAAGCCACAAGGACTGGAGAGCTGAAACTTTATGAAGAACTGTGATGTGACGTGGAGTGTTCGTGGTATGGAGATTGAAAAATCTGACATTTTTAGAACGTTCGACTCTTTGCTCTTGAATTGTGTCTTGTTATTATAGCTCTAACACAAAACGGTGTTCAAACTCACGATTCGCATTTAGTGTATTTCTTTATTCCAGGAGTGAATCGTGTCAGCGCCGATGTTGAACTAATGACTGGGAAACCGGCCCCAGTTTTCTTCCGAATCACATGGCGTTACATCACACCCACTTTGCTTCTGGTAAGGAGAATTTCTAAAGTTTGGGTCTGCAAAATATTTGAAGAGTAATAAACGTTGCCTTCAAGATAAATACTGCTCCAGTATTGTTTCGAAAATACACTTTGACACTTTGATGTTCATTTCTTGGAAAACGGTTTATTAAATCTAACAAGATATTGAGCTATCAAAACATAAAGGAGTGATTTTCTATTCAAGTCACAAACCGTGCCATATTGTGATTGTAAAGCATGAATATATATTTGGCACCTAAAATGTATATACATACTTCATATGAAGTAGCCATATGGAGAAATGATTACACCTGTGGAAATTATTTAACTTGTTCATAAAATGTAGAGGCTGGCCAGTATCGAAATGTGGTCTATAACGAATTCCTGGCACTATGTCATTGGATTACCGTATTCGACGTATTAAGCGCCCGGGTCGCTCTCAAAATTGGAAATATAGGGCTCTTATTAGAACATAATTTTGGTGAAAACAAAAACATAGTTGAAAAATTGTAAATTTCGTACAGTAGTTTATGCTGACAGCCTGAACTGATACAAAAGAACAGTATGTACGTATCATACACGACAGATATATTTTCCAGAATTTAATTGCCCACAATTAAGGGTGTATTATACACGAGTGAGCATTATACACGAATCAATAAGTCTTGTGTACATTGCTCAATCGGAAGGGGTGCTAATTGGGATTGTTCACTAGCAAATATATTAGCAAATATCGCCATGGGAGCTTATTACGTCGAATACAGTATATCAAATATTTGAATATAATGTAGAATATTCATCCTCGTATATTAGAATATTTACATAAAAGCTACATGTAAAACCTGCCAACATCCTAGTTTCGCGAACCATGGGGCAGAAAAGACATACATGTACATGTACTGTGCCTCACCATCAATATGGAGTGTGTCCTGCATAAATACTAATGCCACTGACGAAAACGTCACACCACTCAATAGCGGTATTAACCCGTGAAGATCTGGGGTAGAATACATCTTCAGCAACCCATGCTTGCCGTAAAAAGCAACAATGCTTGTCGTAAGAGGCGACTAACGGGATCGGGTGGTAAGGCTCGCTGACTTGGTTAATGCTTGTCATCGTATCCCAATTGTGTGGATCGATGCTCAAGATATCAATCGCTGGATTGTCTTGTCCAGGCTCTATTATTTACAGACCGCCGTCATATAGCTTGAATATTGCTGAGTGCGGCGTTAAACAGCGAACGAACAATGACGGTATTGCCAACCCTTAAAAGGCAGGTTATCGAGGGACCCACGGACCATCATCTGTGCTTATTAATAATAAACGAATTCTTTAGAATTCAGTAGAAGGAAAGCCTTGGTGGCTCCTCTGTTGGCAGTTATAATCTGAAGTCAACCATTAGCCACCCTGTAAGTGACAACAAGTAAAATATGCAATTATCATCTTGTAACTTTAAATTGAAGCCCTCAGATCTGTAGAGTACCATATGCTGATATGATGTTCAGGCTTGATCCACTCTCAGGCTCGTAGTTAGAACCACTCCAGTGTATGGTTGTTACAAATACTCACGATCATTTACTCATCTAAACCAGAGTAAATATAAATCACGGAGAGTCCATATTGGCACTTTTTTTTTATATTAAATCCGTATTTAATATCGGGTGTCAGCTAAGAAACAGATGAAGAAACAACACTGCCCAGCATCTTTGTTTATGCTTCAAATATATTTTTGCAATTGTTCGATATTTGCAGGGTTTCTTTGGCCCATTAGTTTACATTTGTACTCTGCCCGAAGTTGTACCTCGATATCCAAGAGTTTGTCCTCCCTCAAGTAAACTGACTGACTACCACAGCTTCTAACACCAGTGCCAGACACTATCTGTGGGAAATCCCTGCAAAGTTTCATCAGTGAACACGGAACGGTTAAGAAAAAATGGCATAACAAGTTTCAGTTAGACAAACCCAAGGAAGAACGACGCAGAAACTTTCGGTCATTTTGACGTCTGGGCGATGTTGCCCTCGCCGTGGCAATGACAAAACACCAATTGCTTTGACTGTAAAGACAACGACAAGGGAGCTACAGCAAAGAGGGGACTCTCAATTAAAACGTTACATGACCCCGCTGACCCTCGTGACCTTTCACCTCGGAAGGGTGTTGAGTTTCCCCGACCCGCTCTGGTCTTGAAAACGAGATCTGGGCTCAAAACAGTTGAACGTAGTCATTTATTTAGGGTTCCAAGCCGATATCTTTTTCTCGGAAGCTTGAAATACTTCAAGATTTTGGACAATGTGGGTGCAGGGGCGATAGAAAAAGTTGTATGAAGCCCTTTATCGCTGTTTTTAAGTTATATTTATATTACATTATTTTTGTTACACAGTTGTCCCTACTTTGCCTTTTCAGACAATATTCATTTTTACTCTGGCTCAGTACCAGCCTCCAACATACGGCAGTTATATCTATCCTGACTACGCTGCTTCCTTTGGTTGGTGTCTGGCAGTGATTCCCTGCATTCCATTGGTTGTTGTGATGTGTATGGTCATTTACAAAGAGGAGGGGACGATGCTGCAGGTACAAAACGTGATGCATTGAATAAAAGTTTCACTCAGTATTGCAAAGTTGGTTTTTGAAAGACCCGTGAAGATTCCGGGATAGAATAGGTCTTCAGCAACCCATGCTTGCCGTAAAAGGTGACTATGCTTGTCGCAAAAGGCGACTAACGGGATCGGGTGGTCAGGCTCGCTGACTTGGTTGATGCATGTCATCGATCCCAATTGCGTGGATCGATGCTCATGATATTAATCACTGGATTGTCTGGTCCAGACTCGATTATTTAAAGACCGCCGTCATATAGCTGGAATTTTGCTGAGTGCGGCGTTAAACAACACACCAACCAACCAATATTTTTTAAAACTTTCTTAAGGTATCCGACTGCAACAATGGAACTGATATTACCAGAATTCCAACACTGTTATATATTCCAAAATATGATAAATCTTTTCAGCCCTGGAATTTCGTTAATTCGTTAACCAAGCACATGATGGCAGCTCATAAGTCTTTCGGTTTTCCTTCAACATGCATTAAAGATTCCGTTTCACTGTATGAAATTAAGGAATGGTATATATTTCATTCTGATAGCGGAGGTGAGGGCATATGAGAGTATCTGATTTTACACGATTGTGATTGATTTGGGGACATTTGAAAGAATCGGAGAATTATTTCAATCCTTCAATGAAAAAACTAGTAAATCATTTTACAAAAGTTTCATTGCCTGCACACACTTTTGCAACATCTCTTTAAATAGTATCCTTATTAATTCATTGAATATTAATTTACTTATGGATAAGTAAAGGAAATCAATGGCCATTATGTGTATGTTTAACAGATGTGTTACATTAAGTATGTGACATGTAACATACTCAGTATTCAATTAGCATTTGGACAGTAAGATTCGCGGTATACGTGTTTGATTAATTCTTAATTAATTTTTATATCATGTCTGTGTCTAATCGTTTTAATAATCTCAAACTAGTTTTAGATAAGTATGTGATATGTTGCTAGATCTTATGCTGTCCTCTGACGACAGATTTGTATGCAATTTGAACGCATATATATTTCAAGTCCCAACATGAAGGAGATATTGCCGACGAGACTGTGAACTCACACCCTCACTAATTTTTTTAGTATGTTGAACGATTGAATTCAGGGATTTGTGGACATCGGTTTTAGTCTGCATATACGTTTGCTGTATTGTACCTAAAACAGTGCTTCCAAATACATATTTTGTTTCGTGGCAATGCGGTCATCAACACATTCATGGTCCAACGTTGATTCGATACCGATGGCGGACAAATCAGAATGCAAGATTCTTTAATGTCATGGCAGAATTATGATCAACGTGTTAAAATATTATTAATCAGTTGTATGGTAGTGTTTTCAGTTTTGTGTTGCATTAACCGTTTCTAATTATCTTTTTTTCTTGATATTTTACAGAGACTGAAGAAGACCATGAGACCTGATAGTTCTTGGGGGCCTGCAATATCGTCCTATCGGGAACTTTATTGTCATACACACACAGCAAACTCTTAGAGAATAATGTGTTCCATTGGTTCCTGAGAAAATATATATATATATATATATTCAGATATTTTCACATATTGTTCAACAGATTGTTAAATTTGGAATGGTACATTTGGGAATGAAGTAAGCATCCCTATGGACAAAAGTTGTGCCCCCCTCTTTGTTGATCACCTTTTCGCGAACGCCTGGTGTCATCACTGTTTGTTGGTGATTCAAAAACGAATGTTATGACATAGTGGGAATCACAAAATGGACTATTCTTGTCATCATGGCAAGGGTTTTGACGCTTTTATTCATATTTATGTCGATCGGAATTTCTGTTTGGATTGGCAAAATCAAAACCCGTAATTTGGCTTAGATGTTAACTCAAGCTTCAGGTATATCGGTGATCTGATATCATTCAAAAATGGTCAAAATGCCAATTACCTTCCACTGATTTACCCACCTGAACTAGAAATAATAGAGACCAGTAAGACCGCCACATGTATATCATACTAAGATCTATGCATAACGATTCAGAATGACAAAAAGGCTTTCCAGTCGTCATCTTTCCCATTATGTCGAACAATATTTCAGCAGCTCCAGCCTTTGGTGTCAACCTTTTACAACTTGTGAGGCACAATCGAGCAATTTCTACGAAGATTTCAAAGAGTTGTTTGATCAGAGTTACTCTATTCATTGCTTTCGTAAAGCTTTCAAAATAGTTTATGGTGGTCACGTGGAAGCCATTTCTAAATCTGACGCATCAGTCACAACAATGAAGTCTGGTGCAGTTTCCTATCTTCACTTGTACCATACGTCCATCGGTGTTTTTTTGCAGGTGCACAATTTACTTGCCTTTGCATGCGTTTCTGAGGGATGTAACGGGTGGATCAGCATACGCTCACTTTTTCATGAACACCTGGTGTCTTCACTTTATGAAAGTGATTCATAAACACACAAGCTCATGATATAGTCGGAATCATAGAATGAGCTCTGCTTTTAGAAGAGCGCTCTTATAATTGTGGAAAGGGGCTTGTCGCTTTGATTGCAAACATATAAGGATATATTTCACAAATTATGTCAGCATATATTGCACAAGCTCTCAGAATTTGATCCACCTATACTAGTAGTCGCATTAGTGTTTCTATCTATACCATTATCTGTTGAAAACCGATGTGCCAGAGACTTCATTGTTGAGGTGAATATAAATTGTCAATGCAACAGAATAGCAGCCTAGATATTCTGCGAAACAGATTCCACTTGGCGTAAAGGGCAAATAGCTGTGGAAATTATATGAATGGACCACTACTGGCCCAACCGGTATCACCGCCATTCATACAATTTGAAGAAACGCCATGTAATTTAGTATAAATGTGCTCCATGGTACAAGAACTAGTAAAGATCTGAATGTTGTAAGTTATGTTATAAACAGAGACATTGCAACTATGTAATAAAATTAATCATTGACCTTTAGGTTGATATACATGTACATATTCAAATCTTGAGTTCAGGAGAAACAAATGACTTGAATCAAACTTGCTAGAAATGCCAATTTGCAAGAGCCTATCTTATTTGTTTCGGATACACACCTGAGCGAGACCCGTGAAGATCCGTAAAGGCGACTATGCTTGTCGTGAGAGGCGACTAACGGGATCGGGGGGTTAGACTCGCTGACATTTTTGATGCATGTCATTGTACCCCAATTGCGTGGATCGATGTTCATTATGTCAATCACTGGATTGTCTGGTCCAGACTCGATTATTTACAGACCGCCGTCATATAGCTGGAATATTGCTGAGTGCGGCGTTAAAAAACAAACAAACAAACAAACAACACCTGAGCGAACTATTTGAAAGTTCTTCTTCAACTTGGTGGAAGACATACATGTTGTGAGAGCAGTGTAGTTTGGTGAAAGTTCTTTTGTCATTTTTTCCAAATTTGATCTGGTAACTCAGTATCACATGTATAAGGATCTATATAGTCACACACTCGCACACACTGAGGTCATTATGAGGTGACAATCTAACGACGTAATAATTCCGAAAACAAATGAATCCATGATTTCACTATTATATATTTAGTATTTCTCACACTTGGAGAATACACATTTATATCTTTATCGTTATATACACATTTAAGACGGGTTTATATGTGTTTTATTAATTCCTAAACCTTATTATCAGAAGAATGTACTCAATTATTTATTTGTTAAGGAAGGGATATCTAACAGCTAAACTTTTCACCGCATTTCACGGTTTGAATGTTTCTGCCGTTTGCACATTGAAAATAATGAATAGCACAGTCAGGTGAGTGAATATGGGGTTTAACTAACACTAACAATGTTTTGGGTGATTTATATATATATCAATCACCACGGACATATGAATCAATGACCTATGTTTCATCAACATCAAACTTGTTGATGATCAAAAGCATGTTGTATTTCAATAAACCAGTTTTCAATTAAAGACATGTTGTTTTAAAAGTACAAAGAATGCAGTGAGAGGAAATGAAGTGAATCAAAGAGTATTCCGGCTGTAGAGAACGACAGTACCCTTAGCATTTTGTAAAAAAAATGTTGATGCAATATTTCCTACTACAAAACTGACAAGCTGGAAAACACTATTGCGCCCACTTTTGCGCCACAATGGCCCCACTATCTGGTCACGTTTGTGCCATATTTGCGGTTACAGTATTACTTTCATTGCTCGTTGAGTTAGAATTATTGAGTTATCATGATATTTTCTGGAGTATGCTTATCTGCACTGTTTGATGGGGTATTATATTTCGGTCTTGGTTGGTTGGTTGTTTAACGCCGCACTCAGCAATATTCCAGCTATATGACGGCGGTCTGTAAATAATCGAATCTGGGCCAGACAATCCAGTGATTAATAACATGAGCATCGATCTACGCAATTGGGATCGATGACATGCATCAACCACCCGATCCCGTTAGTCGCCTTTTACGACAAGCATAGCCACCTTTTACGGCAAGCATGGGTTGCTGAAGACCTAGTCTACCCCGGAATCTTCACGGGTCTATTTCGGTCTTGTCTTTAGGACAATATGAATAGACACACACACACACACACACACACACACACACACACACACACACACACACACACACACACACACTATCCAATTTTATTTCGTTTCAATAATTAATATTCATTTATAGCTTTCCATCTATTGCATTGCTAGCAGTGGTCTAGGGGAGGTAACTGCATCTCCAACTCATGTCACAGTTCAAGCTTTAGGTAAGGGACCTAACTCTAAACCCTTCAAGGTGAGGGGCCGCACTTTTCCAAACACAAGCTCAACGCACGCTTTTCCAAACCCGCCCATCCCACTTTTAACCACTGTTTGTATAAATGTTATGCTTCATTTCATTGCTTTCAGTGCTCTCCTAGGTTGACCCTCTTGTTCTGGACAGTTTGGGAGTTATCAATGGACAATTTTCCCAAGATAGACAATCGTGATTTCACTACAACACGCATAAAATTATAGCCTATCTTTACTCTAATCTAAATCGGAGTGTTTCAGTACATCCAGGTAGGTCTTCTTGTTACAATCCCATTACGCTGTAAGTTTTTGTACAGGTGGAATACATTTTGGGTATATTTTTATTGTTTTTTTCTGTTTGTTTTTGTATACATTTATTTTGGCAAAACAAACACCACATTTCGTTACTGATGATCAGTACGACAAAGGAAATCTGCAGCTGACTCGTACATCTTGTCATCATGCAGGATCTACTCACCAGTGTCACAAGATGAAAAACAAACAAGCTGTAGAAGAATTAGGAATTGTTATTTCATTTAGGTATATGGGGGCTACTCGTATTTCCCATTACATCACAGCCAACAAACGTACTTTTATATTAAATTGTGATAACAAAATGCCCCTCTCCGTTTAAAACAAGGTGTAGCTGCTTGTTTTAGTGCTCTGTCGTGCTGAAATTATCTCTTTGTATGTAAACTACGTGTTATTAAATCATGACGTAACAGCCTTAATCGATAATAGCATTGCAATGTAATCTCAGATCATTGATATTTAAGTGGATATATACTAGAATCATGCAAGGATGTGAGGAAATAATACAGGTTTAAATTGTCAGAATAAACAGTTTAGATGCAGATATCAGTATTGAATTAGCCTTACCATATACCCATCCGAGAATTATACATTCCAGAAATCCAGCAGAAATGACGAATACGTTGGTCATGTACCAGTCAACCACTTGATATATGTACATTCCACCCTAAAAATGCCAAATAACGTTTTGTAAGAACAACAACATCATGTCAGAAATATGCTTCTGTTATGGCAGCAACAAATATTAGCAACAAGACACCCTGTACATTCAGGATGAAGAGAACCACCAGTTAAGGAAAGTGCGGATGTTGCAAGTGCCTTTGAAAAGTTTATAATATTGACTGCCAGTGTTATGGGATCTGTTTGTAATACATGTATAGAACATGTTATAATTACCAATATCCATCTCACGAGGGGTGGCTGAAAAGTTCTGAGCCTAACCGTGAATGATGTATAGTACACCCTCAACAGTTTGTATGTTGAAGTACAATACTTTCCACGCTTACAGGCTTCAGTTGACCCAAATGCACAACCAATTCTATGTTGATGAATATGGACAAATTTGGCGACTGCACTGTCATCAAGCATCTCTAACCGAAAGGGCTAACTGCAACAACCATCCATGCGAACATAGTGGTGGGGCCTTCAGTATGGACCTCGGAGGCCATTATGTTGAACTCTACACAGTCCTTCAGAGTTTGGACTTTTTAGTCACTCTCGTAAGTATCACCAAACTTTCTACATCAGATGCTGAGATGTAAGGCATTTATTTTTGTCTTTGGCAACAATGGCAAAAGTTCTTGATGAAGAAGAAACTTATTATAAACATCATCATCAACCAAAGTTTCGGCTTGATCACACGGCTATTACTAAGAATTATTGTTTGTTTTCATTTCTAAGGAGCATGGTATAGATTTTAATATCAAGAA